AAAATTTTAAAGTATATATAACTTTTATTTCAAATAATATATTAAATGTAATTGTTATTGTATATATTGAGCGTAAACTGTTCAACATATTTAATACAAAACCTTGAAAAATAATATTGTAATTAAAAAATAATAAATTATATTAACATTCTATGAAATCCTCGGGAAGTAGTAAAGCCAAAGAAATATTCTAGGAAATCCATTGATGTATATCTCCCTTCAAACCCAGTAATCTATAATTGAAATCATATATGAAGAATTTAACATAAACTAACGGGTACTTTCACTGCTTGGCACTTGATCGTACAGGTTCCTTGACAAAGCTGCAATTCTAGATGAGAACAGTTCAAAGGATGAAAACAAAGAAAATCCATGGATAGTTTCCACAGTGACTCAAGTTGAGGAGGTTAAAATGGTAATTAAGCTCCTTCCCATTTGGTCTACATGTATCCTCTTCTGGACTGTCTATTCTCAAATGAATACCTTCACCATTGAGCAAGCTACATTCATGAATCGAAAAGTTGGATCTCTAGAAGTTCCAGCAGGATCTCTATCAGCTTTTCTCATAATTACCATTCTCCTCTTTACCTCCCTAAATGAGAAACTCACTGTCCCCTTATCTCGGAAACTCACCCACAATGTCCAGGGGCTCACAAGTCTTCAGAGGGTTGGAATTGGACTATTTTTCTCCATCATTGCCATGGTTGTAGCTGCAATTGTTGAGAAAGAAAGGAGGGGGAATGCAGTAAAAAATAGTACTGCAATAAGCGCCTTTTGGCTGGTACCTCAGTTTTTTCTGGTGGGTGCGGGGGAAGCATTTGCCTATGTTGGACAACTAGAATTTTTCATTAGGGAGGCTCCAGAGAGAATGAAATCAATGAGCACAGGACTTTTCCTATCTACACTTTCAATGGGTTATTTTGTCAGTAGCTTATTGGTGTCAATCGTGGACAAGGCAAGTAACAAGAGATGGTTACGGAGCAATCTGAACAAGGGAAGGCTAGATTACTTCTATTGGTTGCTTGCAGTGCTAGGAGTGCTGAATTTTATATTTTTTCTGGTTCTGGCAAAGAGGCATCAGTACAAAGCTCAGCATGGCATACAGCCTAATAACGGTGCAGAAAAAGAGCTTGTGCGTACAAATGATGTGATAGTTGGAGTTGATGGAAAAGAAGAAGCATAGGATACAGTTTTAAAATCTCAATTTGTTTGACCGAATATATGGTGTGGAAGAACTAAACACTGTGCCCCGAATTTGTTTATTTTGATGTACTGTTATGCACTGTTATGTATTCAAAGATCAAAAAAAGACAAACAACATTGAGAGATGTTTCCTGAAGAAAAAGCAAATATGAGATGAAATGTAAATTCCCTGACAGAAAATATAAATAAATTAACCACTAGGCAGGTTTCACGAGCAGAAGCCTGAATTTGACTAATGTTATCAGTAGAAAACATTACAAAATTATAGATTCAAACTATAACAATACCTTCAAAACAAAACTTTGTCCATTGGAGAAGAAAGCCTTAAACAATGGCATTAAATAGTTTTAGTAGCAAGAAGATAATAAATATCCTTAAGAACACAGTGGACTTCATAAAGCATCAGTAAGCGAGGGAGGTTTATGACTTATGACCAGCGGAGGACGTAGAGCTCGGTGCGTTTCCTCCTTCTGTTTGCGGGCCTTGTACATTTCCTCTGTCTCAATAACAATTAACCTCTTGACCTATATTAATTACAGTGTTTAGCAATGTTAGTATCCACAGACACAAGTCCTTTCAAGCAGAAAATATATTTGGGTAGATCTTGTGCTAAAACCTGTTGGAGCATCCCCCTAACCGTAGGTGTGTTCCATCGCATGACAGTTCGATTGCATTTGCGTAGGC